ACTCTAATTTTGTCAGTTTACCGTCAACAGCCGTACATTTTATTTGTTATACATACATATATATATTTTTTTTAAATAATCAAATAATAATATCTGAAAAAAACTAAATGATTTAAGGATGTCAAAAACACGTAATTTGCAAAACAACATTTTTTATGATTAATTTATCTTTCAAACAACAGTAAATATCTGTAAATTATGGATATTTTTGCTTATTTCAACACCAAACAACGTGATTTTACACGTTAAGAATCTACAAATACTGATCTTTGACGTGAATATTTACATTTTCAGTCTGTTTTTGTTTTTTTTTTACTCTTAACATGTAAATTGATGGTATTTTCCTCCCTGAACGGCAGATGCGTGTTTTCTATTCCTGGCCGAGTCACGTGGGCTCGGTCCTGCGGCGTTTGGGGCTAAAAGCAGCGATTCATCACCGCCGGAGCGCTCGAGCAGAAAACCGCCACGTGCACGCTCGTGTTGAAGCAGCTCCATTGTAGCGACGGTGCACAAAGCGGCGGGAGGAAGAGGAGACGGAGGCAACAATGGCTGCCATCGCCGTGGAAACAGGAGCAGCAGGAGGAGGAGGAGGAGGAGGAGGAGGAGGGTGAAGCCGCCTCTGATTCAAAGATTAAATTAAAAAAAAGACATTCAGAGGCAGCTTCAGCCTGCAGAGGAGTGATGATGGAGGGATGGAGGAGAACACATGGAACCAGAGTTTTATTGAACAGATACGCGAGGCTCGGCCGGCTCAGATGAGCTCCGGACTTTCACTCATCAAACGGAGCCAACGTGAACCGTGAGCTCGGTCAGGGTGTGGCCTGGGCCCCACCCAGCCATGTGTATCTGGGCCAGACAGAACACAGACGGATGGAGCTGATGGAGGGCGGGTGAAGCGCCGGAGGACAAACATCCAGACCTGCGTGGAAGACGACGGTGTTCTTCCTGCATCCCGACAGCAGCTGCAGGTTCCTGAAGAGCCCTTTGGCCGTCAGCTTCACGTGGAAGTTGGACAGCGACAGTCGAGGAGACCACAGCATGGCTCCTGGTCCGGACGGTCCTTCCGAGCTGGAACACTGACCCAGTTTCCACCCACCCACTGCCCTCCGCTTCCCCCTGAACTCCAGGAGCAGGACGCGGACGTTCGGCGCCACGTGGAGATCAGAAGCAGTTTAAAGACGGAGCCGCTGGTAATCCTCCGGCTGCTGCTCCGGCGGTTTAAAGCCACAGAGCTGCTGCTGCTGATGCTGCTGCTGCTCAGCCAACAACAGACGAGGAGCAGAAAATGGCGCCAAAAATAGCAGCAGCGGCAGCGGCGTCCAGGTGGCGGCGACTCCTCCACCAGCGGGAGATGGAGGCTGAGGAGGCGGTGGTTCCTCCTGCCTCCTGCTTCACGGATCCACGCAGCCGCCGGTCCGGTTCGCTGCCGAGTTAAAGCCGCTGAAGACGGAGACGAGGACGGAGGAGGGAGGAGGAGGGAGGAGGAGGGAGGAGGGATGCTGCAGGGGAGGAGGGTAGGAGGGGGAGGGACTCCGGTAATCTCCTCCTCCTCCTCCTCCTCCTCCTCCTCCTCCCCCATCACGTCCTCTGGTGGCAGAAAAACGGCCCGGTTTGCTCAGAGGACGTTTGAAGGAGCAGAAACGTGAAATAGATAAAAGATGGAGCCGAAGAAATACGAATAAATATAAAAATAAAGGTTAAAAAATAAAAACAACCGAGGGAGCAAAACAAACACTGAAATACTGAGATGTTCAGAAACAATTGCAGATGAAATAAAAAAATAAAAAAAACTTGAATAAAATTTAAAAGTGTGTGACTTTAGAGTCATTTTAAAGTCTCTATTTCCATTATTTTCATTTTTATTTAAATGTATAAAATAAAACCTGTAATTTTATAGTAAAATGTAATAAAATGTAAAAGAAAAAACAGATTTTTCATGTTTTTCTGTTTTGTTTTGTTTTTTTTTTTTTTTACATTTTTTTAAAGTCAAAATATAAACTATCAGCTTGCTTTTTTGGTGATTTTACTAAATATTATCTGTAATTTAACAAAAGAGGGAAATTGTGCAAAATAAAAATAAATATAACCGTCCTACATATATAGAATGTTTTTCCTAAATGTAAAATATCTGGAAAATAATTTTATTTTTTCTGACTTAAATACAATAAAAATAAAATAAATAAATAAATGAAAATAATTTTATGTGCACATGTAAAAGAACAAATTATTATTTGCAAAAATCCTGATTCTTAATGTGAACAAATTAATATATAAAAATATTTTATAAAATGTCTGAGAAGTTATTTACAATTTGGCCTTTTTTTTTATAATTAACATGTAAATTAAGACTTTTCTGTGATCTCACTGAATGTTATCTGTAATTTAACAAAACGGAAAATCTGTAGAATAACAGCTAAAAACAATGTAAAATATCTGAAAACAATCACATTTTCATCTGATTAAAACAGTAAAACTGTTATTTTATGTCGTTTTTTTTACCGCAAGCATGTAAATAATATTTTTTAGTGATTTTATTAGTTATCATCTGAGATTTAACAAAACAGGAAAAAACTGTTTAAAAATGTTTTTTTGGACCACAAAATAAAATCTGTAAAACTATAATTCTGCTATTTAAACACAGAATAAACTGATTTTATGTTTAGATGGAGCTAAACACGTTTGTATAAATACTGATTTCTGACATTATTTACAGTTTTGGTGTTTGTTTGTTTTTTACTTGTTTTATTTATTTTTCATTTAAATTAACACTTTTTTGTGTAACTTAATAATTATTATCTGCACTTTTTTTGGGTTTTTTTTTAAAGGAAAAATCTGTAAACTAACAATAATTTAATTTTAAAAGCAAACTCAACATTTTTAATCTAACTTCATTGATCCTATTTCAATCAAACACTTCAGTTTTATCTGTTAGTTTAATTTTATTCAGTCGAACTCTAAAGAAACTCGTGACTCAGTTTAGTGCTTCTTCTTCTTATTTATTGTTCTGACAGAAAGCTGCTCGTTTGCGGCTGCAGCAGAACTTCTCGTTTTAAACACGTTCCTGCAGCTCGGAGACAGAAAACCGTTAAAACTTTAATTAAACTAAATCCGACTGAAGGAAAAGTCTCAATGAACTCGTGAAACTGACGCAAAACACACATCAAGGACGATAAAACCAGAGACCCTGGGCGTGTGTGTGTGTGTGTGTGTGTGTGTGTGTGTGTGTCACAATCAATAAAGTTTGTCTTCAATGGAGACAAAAAGCCACTGAGAGCTTTAAAAGCCCCACAAAGCAAACCACTGTCGCCTGTGGTGTGTGTGTGTGTGTGTGTGTCTCTTTGTGTGTGTGTCTGCGTGCGACAGACTTCCAGGCCCGGCCGCCACAGAGAGGAGGCAGCCAGGCGCCCGTGCCCAGACCGGAGCCACCACACTGGGGGGGAGCAGCAACCCCAGGCCCAGGTTTCAGAAGGCCCACGTGGAGGACGTGCAGCGGCGCCCCAAATAACGTCTCTGCTGCCAGAACCATCAGTAAAGCTGCTTAAAAACGCAACGCTACACAACACCACCGACCGGACCGCGCGCGCGCGCGTGTGTGTGTGTGTGTGTGTGTGTGTGTGTGTGTGTGTGCGTGTGTGTGTGCGTGTGTGTGACAGAGCAGCAGAATAATTACAGGGCGACGCAGACAGATGATGATTATGTTGCTGAAGCGTCAGGCGGTCTGATGTGCTGCAGCCGTGAGCTCACGGATCAGAACATCCAGAACCCGACCCACATGTTCAGGTTCACGTCTATTAACTGTCAACTACAGCGTCTGATCCACGGTCGTCCACCAGATCAGGTGGTTCTACTGATTCATGTACGATTCACTCCGACGAGGCGCCACATGCTGCCCACGGTTCACCATCACAACGTCCACAGACATCAGGTCAGGCCTGAGAAATGATGTCACAGAAAAAAATACTAAACTCAAAAAGCAAACTGAAATCGGCTAAAATTTAAATAGTCCAAAAAGGAAATAGTCCAAAATTAAAATTGTCAAAAATTACAACTATCCAAAATTAAATTTAAAATTATCCCAAATAAAAATTATCCAGAATAAAAATAAAAATTGTCCAAAATAAAAATTGTCCAAATTAAAAATAATCAAAAATAAAAATTATCAAAAATTTAAATTAAAATTGTCCAAAATAAAAATAGTCCAAAATTAAAACAAATAGTTGAAAATGAAACTAAATTTGTCCAAAATGAAACCTGACATCAGATCAGATGAAACTCGTGACAGATTTTGCTCAGAAAAAACAAAACAGGAGAATAACCGCGGCGACGTGAAGACCAGACAGGCGACACGATGCTGAAAACAGGAACAAGCAGCTAAAACAAAACTAGAAGACAAGAAGAAGGAGGTAAAGCTGGACATCCTGCTGACGTGGTCGCCTCATGTGGCACAGAAAGGGAGGTTCTGGATGAAACAGTAACGGGATCATGATGGAATACGACCCGTTAGGCTCTGATCTGCTGGATTCCTCTCATCAAACTAAACCTCACGTCATTTTAGGGGAGAATCAGCTGCACTGAGGAGCTCAGACTGCTTCTCATCTGGTTTGATTTCTGGTGACATTTTAAAATGAGACGCATCAAATGAAGTGATTTTGTCTGAACGTCCTGATTTAAGCTCAGATTTGGTGAAGTCACCTGTGAGGAGTTCCAGAGACGTTCGATGACTCTCACAAACGTTGTAATTAGGAAACCTTGCCGTGGTCCAGCAGGTTTCAGGGTTCAGAAGGTTCTTGGATGAAATATCAGAATTTTTAGATCAGATTTGGGTCGTTTTCGTGGCAGAATCACACTTAAGAGCCATTTAAAAGCTGTTTTTGCAGTATCTTGCTGATAAATGATGATTTTGGGTTCAGTAGCTTCAAAGCCCTTCAGAACAGAACCAAGAGAAGCAGCTGGAAGCTCCGACGAGAGCCAACCAGACACACCTGCAGCCTCCCACTCACCTAAGCTGCTGGGGCGACCCAGCCTGGCCGAGCCACTGCGCTGCAGGGGGTTCTGGGTCGGCCGGCTCTGGTTCTGGCCTGCGGCGGGCGTCCTGGGCGCCATTGGGGCGGCCGGCTTGGTGGCGCCGTGGGCGGAGACGGCCGGAGGCTTCAGCCCTGTGGAGAGGAAGAAGAAGTCGAATCCCATGTTGGTCTGAGCCGGACTCTGGGTCTCTGAGACCCGACTAATAGGATCACAGGTTTATCAGCGCTCTGACCCAGACAGGCTCCAACATCTGGCGCCAGAAACAACAACAGAACACAGCAAAGCACAGCTGGCCCAGAAAACCTGCAGCTGAGTAGCGTCTGCATCAGGCGACACAGAGACCAGAATAAATAAAGGTTTTATTATTATTATTATTATTATTATTATTATTATTATTATTATTAATACATTTAAAAGCAAAATCTTGTAAATAACTAATTTTACAGGTTTTTCCTGATTTTTTTTATTTGTTAAATCACAGAAAATAATCAATCGACATGGTAATTAATAAAAAACTAATAAAATGTAAATAATGAAACACGTCTTGTTTGACTTTTAAATGACACTAAATGCTTAAATACAATTAAAATCAGCAAATTATAATTATTTTACCAATAATTATTTAAAAGAAAAAATATCTGAGAAATGATAAATAATATGATTTTAAAAATAGTTATTACGCAGATTTCTCCTGATTTGTTAAATTACAGAAATCTATAAAAATTGAAAAAAAAAATTAATTGATGAATTTTAAAACAAACTAAGCGAACTGTAAATAAAGTTAACGTCAAAAATCTGTATTTTTATAAATGATTGTTTGTCTTTTAGAGCATTTTATTTCTATAAAATCTGTGAAAAAATTTACATTAAGGAATATAAAATAGTTTAACTGTGATTTTACAGATTATTTCCTGGTTTGTTAAAATATAATAAAATCATTATTAATTGTCAAGTTAATTACTTTAAACAGTAATGTGATTTTTACTTTATTTAAATATAAATAAATCCCTGTCTGTGTCTGCTGTTGTCTGACCTGCACTGATGTATCAGCCGTGTGGTTCTGACCTGTGGCGGAGCTTCGGGCCTGCAGAGACAAAGCTCTGCTTCTCATGGCTGGAAGCTTCATGGCACCGCTGGTGGCATCACTGGGAGCACTGGGAGCACTGGGACCATCGGTGCTGCTGCAGCCGGGGGGCTTGGCGGAGCTTCTGCTGGGTCGGTCCTCCGGTCGGGTTCCTGGAGCTCCGTGAGGCGACGGGTCGGCTGAAGACGGAGCAGAAGGTCAGAGATAAAGCAGATCAGTTAATAACCACAGAATATGAACACTTAAATTAAAATAAAATGGTCCAAAATGAGACCAAAATTGCCCAAATGAACTTCAAATTGTCCAACGTGACCAATATTTGTTCAAAATGTGTTTAAAATAGTTTAACTGTGGACAAACTATGACTCGTTCTAACCAACACTGACTCAATGTGGACGTTTTTATTCATTCTGCTGATCAGAGATCTGCTGAATCTACTGAACTGATGGATCCTGATGTGGACGTTTATCAGAACATCGTGGATTATTTAGTGGTACAGGATGAACTAGAGATGCTCAGAATGACTTGACATCTGTCCAAAATGATTAAAATCTGAACAAAATGACTTTAAACTTGTTCAAAGTTACACAGAATGTCTCACAACTGGTCTGAGATGAGCTCAATGTCCAGAGTGACTCCAGATTTGTTCCAAATGACTTGAAACGCGTCAAAAAATGAACCAGGAATCGACCAAAATGAGATAAGAGTCTAAAATTACCCAACACTTGTCGAAAACTAGTGAGGAGTCACTAAGAACGACTTAAAACTTGGCCAGAATGATTTAAATCAGCTGAACATCCAGCACGACTCAAAAATCATCCAGAATGACATAAAACGTGTCGGTGTTTAAAGACGAGGAGGTGAACCGAACAGAAGACATCCTGAAAGGCTGCGACCAGTGAATAGACTCATCTGGAAGGACTCCAAACACGTCCAGAAAGACTGGAAAGTCAAGTCGTAGCGTTCAAAACGATCTGAACCATCACGTCTGTCACGATGCACAAACGGTCCAAGAATAAATAAAACTCGTCAGTGAGCTTCATCCAGTAAAATCGTCCGTAGAGACTCAAAACGTGTCACTCTGGACGACTACGGTTCAGATTTATCGTGTTTTTTTGTCATTTCTAACTAAATTTGCACAATTTCAGTCAACGCAAAGTTCTCTTGAACGCCGACGCCTTCAGAGTCATTCAGGACGAAGCTCCGTCGTGTTCGTCTGTTTGCGGCCGTTTTAAATCGACCTGTAGCTCGGGTCAACTGGGGAAACAAAGCGGTGACCGCTGTGGCGATCAGCTCGGACAGGAAACAGGAAGCTGCAGAGACTGGGTTCGGTTTACCGGGACCAGCAGGACGCTTCAGACGCTTTATGATCATCTATAATCTCCGCCCACCAACCTCTGCTCGCCGCGCCACCGTTCTCGTTGCTTCCCAGCGACGAGGCGCTGAGGCTTGTGGGTAATCCCTTCACGGGAAGCTTGGAGGAGGAGGAGGCGGGCGCTGCTGGTCGCCCCGACGATGCCGACGCCGGCTGCTGATTGGCTGCTGGTTTGGAGGCGGTGAACGAACTGGTCCGAGGTTTGGGGATTCCTGAGGGACGGAAACACAGAAGTTAGAAACGATTTTACCCCCAAAGTACCCGAGAAGCTGCTTTAAGGTCCGATGAGTCCAGAAATAAAACTTCTACAGCAGATCAGAAGGAAACAGTATGGGTCAGTGAAGACGGAAAAGGTTCTGAATGTCCAACCAGCCTGGTGCTGATCCAGAAAGTTCCTGTCAGCGTCTGTCTATGGACGGATCCATGGTTCTACTAGAATCTAGTCTCTGGTCACATTTCAGAAAACTTGACCCAAAATGGCAAAAATTAGATTAAAAAACGACAAAAATGAGATAAAATGTCCAAAACGACACATAAACCAATTAAAATAAGACAAAATAAACAAAAAAAACTACACACAAAGTGACAAAAACAAGAGAAAATGACAAGTTAGAGAAAAAAAACAAAAACGAGACACAAAATGTCCAAAACGACACGCAAAGCAACTAAAACGAGAGAAAACAACACAAACAAGACACAAAACGGCAAAAGTTAGAGAAAAAAAACTAGTATAAGACAAAAAAACAACTAAAATGAGAAAACACAAAAACCAACACACAAAGCGACAAAAATGAGAGAAAATGTCAAAAACAAAAGAAAACAACCAAAAACCTACACACAAATGACAACAATTAGATTTTAAAAAAACGACAAAAATGAGACAAAAAATGTCCAAACAACACATGAAATAACTGGAATGAGACATAAAACAAAAACTTGTCACAAAATTAAATTAAAAAACGGCAAAAATGAGATAAAATGTCCAAAATGACATGTCGAACAACTAAAATGAGACTTAAAACAACAAAAACAAGAGAAGACAACAAAAAGCAAGGCACAAAATGACAAAAATTGGATTTAAAAAACTACAAAAATGAGACAAGAAGTGCTCAAAATGACACATGAAACACGTAGAATGAGACACAAACTGAAAAACCGAGACAGAAAATGTCTAAAACGACACGAAAAACAGCTAAAATGAGACAAAACCAACAAACACCAACACACAAAGCGACAAAAAGTGACTAAAATTAGATGAAAAAACAACTAAAATGAGACACAAATGCTTGTTTCCAGTGTTTTGATTCTATGTTTTATTTATTCTTTAATTTCTATGAACTAAATAACGTAAATAAATCAGTTTTGTCCTGATTCCTTCTAACCGTGACGTCTCTGAGCCTCTCCTCCTCCTGCTGCTGCTGCTTCACGACTTTATGCTGCAGACAAACATGAACCTGAGTGAAGGAAACCCTCCATCATCTTCATCACTTAGAAGCTCCACACTGAGCCAATCAGAGCAGCGTTACGGCTGTACTGGACCAGCAGGACACACTGAACCCATCAGAAGACTCTAAACCAGTTTGCTGAGCCCGTCTTCAGCTCTGCGGCCGTCTGAGGACAGAGAACAAGCTGCTCCTTCACAGCTTCAGTCGTCTCCATGTTTTCAGCCTGAATCACACATTCCTGCCCAAAGACCAAAGCAGAGAGACTTCCCCCTGCGACGCCTACGACCCGCCGGACCGGAGCTGATCAGAGAAACAATAACCAGCACGCTGTCCTGCAGTGAGATCATCATGAAGCTGCTTCAGACCGACAGGCTGGATCATTAGAATGAAGCTTTAACAGAAGAAGAACGACTAAAACTCAGTGAAACATGAAAACACACAGAAAGAGAATAAATCCGTTGTTTTCTGACATCACGTCAAACTGAGGAAACACCAGCAAAGACACACAACATCCCTCCAAACACACACACAGAGCAACAAAACGGACTAAAAGCAAAATAT